ATTGAGAGCAGCATTCTACAAAATACAATTACTTCTCAAAAGAGTCAAGGTCATGAGAAGCTAGGAAAGACTGAGAAACTGTCACAGGCCAGAGGACATGAAGACAGGACGACTAAACACCGTAGTATCCTGAGTTAGACCCTGGAACAGAAGAACATTAGTGGAAAAACTGGTGAAGTCCAAATAAAGTCTGGGATTTAGCTGGTAGTAACTCACGAATGTTGGTTTCTTAGTTTAGACGAATGCACATGGTAATGTAAGATGTTAACTTTGTAGAGTCCTGGTTTGCCTGGGAAAGGAGCTTTCTATACACAGAATGTAGCCTGCTCATCTTTTTATTATCTTGCTGTTATTTGTTGTCACCTCCTCAAAAATGTTTCCATGATTAGTTAAACCCCTTTGTGTACAGGTCCCTATGCTATTCTTAGAGAGGTTTTCACTTTCAGTATTCTACTAGATTTTTTAAAGTGAAGATTCTACTTACTTTTCTTCTCTCCCACTAAAAAAAAATCAAGGTATAGTTTACATACAGTAAAAAACCCTTTTCAGGCACAATTCTATGAATTTTTGACTACTAGGTTTTTTAAAATAATTGTAACTCAAATAGCCTCTTCTTGATTCTTAATAGATGTTTGAATTCATCAATAAAGATAAAAGTGACTTGGAATACTTATAGACTATGTCTATACCAGTTATAATAAATAAAGCCCTCATTAAATTAGTGTTTGTTCCCTAAATATTCCTTTTCTCCTGAATACAAGATTCAGAATTATTAAAGTTAAACTTCATGGAGGACAAGATGTTGGTAAATTTTGTAGAAAATCAATGATTGAAAGTATCAGAAAGTTATGATTTAATTTAAAGAGTCAGCATGGATTCACATCTATCTCAGTGATGTGAAGTAACCTCTGGGTCTAATGACAAATATCAGCTGAGGGAAGCCATGAACCAATTACCTGGGATAAAGCACCATGAAAAGAATACTATACAAACAACTAATCTAGAAGTTAGACAAGTATGGTATAGGGATGAATTACCTAAGTAGATTACACATTGACTTTGATATCAAAGTGCAGAATAGTTTGGAATGGATGGGTTACAAAGCTCCAGGGATCAATATTAGGACCAATTTTATTCATTTGATATGTCAATGACTTAGAAGAAGGAACATGCAGTAAGCTTGTTATACAAAACCAGAGGGAGGGACAGTCGATACAAAGAAGGGATGAAATGACTTGAGTAGACTAGGAACTAAGCAGATAAGTGGCTTATTCAATTCAGGGTGGAGGAAATATGAAGTAGAAAGATTATCTCACAGTAATATGCAATCACAATGTTCAAAATAGAGTGAAAGAGTGAAAACTCATTAGATGAGTAAATAAGCATGCTAGAAATAAATTAGAATAATTCAAATGCTATGAATAAGGTGGAATATTGACTATAGAATTTAAATACTGATATTTTAAATAAAAATATTAAGTATGTTTATAATATACTAGACTAAGAAAATAACTCACTGGAATATATATATATATATATACAATTGGAGCGAAAATAATGACACTTGCTGTCAAGGATGATAGAGCACTTGTATTCTGGGTAGTCTATCAATACAGGAAATATCTTTTTGTCTTTAAACAACTTTATTATGGTGTAATTTCTGTGCAGTAAACTACACATATTTCAGATGAATTTTGATAGATGTGTACACCTATGAAACCACCACCACAATCAAGATAGCTAATATTTCCATCATTCCCCAAGAGGTGTAATTTTTGAATTCCTAATTTATCCCTTCCCACCCCCTTTACCCCCTGGTAACCGTAAGTTTGTTCTCTATGTCTTTTAGTCTGTTTCTGTTTTGTAAATAAGTTCATTTGTGTCGCTCTTTTTTTTTTTTTAGATTACACATATAAGCTATATCATATAGTACTGGAAATAAGTTAGGTGATCAAATATATATAAAATATAGATGTGTATCAAATGGTATATAATAAAAACGTTTAAAGATTTCCTTACAAGTTTTTGATGATTTGTTCAGCTGATGAATACTAGTTTTGTGGCTCCTTTACAATCAGCAGGTCATGTTACTAGCAGTTTCTCTATCAAAATAAGATAGATGTATGAAACTTTAATTGTAACAGAATCCAAATTCATGGCTTATTGAAATCAATGAACCATATCAATGAACAAATCAATAGATATGTGTTGATTATCTTCTATTTGCTCAACATATAGAATTTTCTTGAAGTTCTATTAAACATGTGTTTTTTGATAAAGCATAAAAAATGAATATTTTCCTTTAATATTTGAAATTCAAATAAATTAACATTATAGCTTAAAAAAAAGTCCCAGTGGGACAAAAGGGCTTTTTCGTTTCAAACCATACTCCTCTCCTTCCTTGAGAATCACTGCTTACAAGCCACAGAACAAGGGTAAGACATCATGTTTGGGCACAAAAGACGTAGGATTTAAACAATGGTGACAATGCTGTCATGAATTAAGTGTAACGTTCAGGGTACATACTCTAAGGGTAACAGAAAGTTAAAAGTGAAGGAATTACTAGTTGCTGGAAGCAATGGCTTTATGGAATAAGGTTAAGACTTGAACTGAAGCTTAAAGGCTTGTTAGAATTTGCATGAGCACAGAGGAGAAGGAGGAACAATCCTGGTGGTAGAATGAGTAAACATTCAGGGGTAGGTGTGATTAAATGCAGGGCATTGAGGGGTTTTGAGAGAGACCCTTGTACGTATCGTGGGGATCACTACCGTTTTTGGAGGTAAAGGTAGGTTAGTTTGGAGACAGATGCAGAAAAGGAGCAGGAAAGTCTGGAGTACCATCTAGAACTGCAGAAGTCCAGGCAGGGCAAAGCATGCTTTGATCTCTTTCAAAAGGAGCTGACTAACACTCCGTGATTTCTGAATTTGGAGAATTCTCCTTTGGCGATGCACCTAGTGGAGTTTGGACTTTGTTGCTTCTCTTCCATTTTATCTGAATGTGTGTATGTTTATATTTTGTCTCTTAAATGGATTATCTGCTTCTTGGAGGTGGGGGTCATGCAGTATCTTACAGAGTAGGGTTCAATAATTTTTTTTGATTTCAGTGAATGGGTAGCTGAGACAGATTCTGCAGGGAAACTTGTTAGCACCTGGTAACTGGTGGCCAGGGGGAGAAGAGGACGTGTCAAAGGCAACTTCGTGGATGGGCATCTGAGAACACGATAACATTGCTGTCGGAGATAAGAATGTCACGAGGGAGAAGGGAGCTGGTTCTGTAGAAAGTTATGGGCTCAGCTTTGAACACTGAGTTTGAGGTGAAAGTGAGACATTCCAGAGGAACTTACAGTGCTTGAAGATACAGAACTGGGACTCAGGTGACAGGAGATAACTAAAGAGAAGATTTGGGGTAGAATTTAAAGACAGGGCTGAAATTGCAGGAATGGTTGAACTTCCAGGGGATGAGC